CCAATCTTTGTAACACACCATTCACACACACAATCGGACTTCGGATAGATACGGATATCGCTGCAAGGCTAGCACTTAATCAAGACAGAAAATAATATCAGAGACAATTACCTCAATCCACATTATTCAATGAATTGAGCTTTAATCGCATGCGTAGACAATGCAAGGACACTTTTACATTAGTATATGCATTAATACTGAATTATTGAAATCAAATGTTCTGATGTTAAAAAGGTTGAAAAAAGGTTTCAGGAGAAATCAAACATGGCAGACTTAAACACTTTGAGCAACCTGCTGAAATGACAGCCAGCGCTGATCGTGCAGAAGGAAACCCATTCATCAACCTTGCGTGTTCGTGAGTGGATCGTGCAAAGATTTGCGGCCATTGCTGCACCAAGAGAAACCCTGAAAATACACACAATGGAAGGCCTGACAGTAAACTCATAAATACACTGAATCCACCATGTCTCTTCATCCACACACACAACACACACACGACACACACACAAACACACACCACACACACACCAAACACACCAAACACCACACCACACAGACACACACACCACACACAACTAACACCACACACACACACACACACACACAATCGCACACACACAACACACACACACAGCACCACACACACAGAATTGCCTGGTAGATTGCAGAGAGAGAGCGTTAGCAGGATAAAGCGATTTGACGGTCTGAATACAGAACAAACAGAAGGCATTGTCCTCCAAGCGGAAGCACAGAGCAACAAGCCCAGCACACCCTCTAACGCACGACGCACACAAACACACACACGTGCACAATGTAGACAGTAAGATAGGAGAATGAGGACCAGGAAGGACGGCTCTCTAGACCCGCGGACGACGTACTAAGTTGACGCACACGCAGAAAAGTGAAAAAGAAAAGAAAATTTACAAGCAAACTTCGAAACAACAATTGGTTTTTGTTCTAATTCTGAGGCACTGCAAAGCATTTTTCCAACTGCCCTTTCTTTCCCTACACGTAGTCACACACACACACACAACAACACCACACTCACTCGACAATCACAATCACGAATCACAAACGTCCTCAGAACGTTTGGCAAAAAAGGCAGTCTACAAGAAGAACGAAAGCCCAAAACAACTCCACCCCACCCCACTAGAGAAACAATCCCATCCTCATTTGCATCCTCTCCCATCAGCTAGATACCTCTCCACCACTCCTCCACCATCCCCTCATTTTCTCTTTCTGTCTCTCTCTCTGCTGTTTCCTCTCCTTTCTTCTTCTGTCTTCTCCCCCTCTTTTCCCTGTCTTTTCGCTGAGGGAATCCTCTGACATCTTGAGGGTGTGTCCCGACTCTACATTCCTCTGCTGCCCCAGAGGAATGTCTAGTTCACATGCTCCCAAGCAGCTCAGCTCAAGCTTGAGTGTTAGAGGTGTCACTGGGCTGCTGTTGTTGTTGTTGTTTTGGTTGTTGTTGTTGGGAGAGCAGCCTGTGGTGGTATTAGAGTTATACAGATGGTTTGAGCTTGGTGCTGATTATATTTTTACATATTTTTAACACTTTTGGAGTTTTGCTTTGGGTTGTTTTGGTGCAGAAGAACAAGAGGGTTTTAGAGTATCTCTGCTGTCCAGTCTCCATGTTCTACTTACCAACTGCATTATCAAAAAGCACAGATTTATCCTCCTCTCCTTGTATCATTTACACAAATATAGCTAATTACAGTATACATAACAAAATTGTCCAAGCTTAAAGGTCCACCTATTACCTTTGTCCTCACATAGTGAAGATGGTCTTTGCCGTTGGATGTGAATGTTGTCCGGCTCAAACTGTTGCTTTGACTAACAGGTCCACCTTTAATCTTTCAGTATTCATTATTTTATCCCCCTTCGATATGGCACGCTCCTTGGTAGACACTTCTTTCACCTTATTTTGAGATATGTAATTCATAGCATGCCTAGTTACAAACAAGCTACAGATGTGGGATAATGGGTAATGTTTTGTTTTCCCAGCCTGCCAGATGATTACAGATGTGGGAAATCTTTGGGGCCGGTGGAATCTCTTCAGGAACATCCTCAGCAGTCTGGGAAGATTCTGATCGGCTACAGCCGGGGCCTGGTGGTCCTATGGGATCTGAGCACCCGTCATGCCGAGCAGCTCTTCCTGGGCAAGCAGGTACCTGGTTTACAGAGCAGAGTTTAGTGCTCGTTGGCGAACATTTTTACTGATTTTGTTCCATGCTGAATCTTTCATGATGGTACAATAAAAAAAATTGTTTTACGGTGTGTTAATCTGTGTGTGTGTGTGAACCCCCTGCAGCAGCTGGAGAGCCTGGTATGGGAACGCTCTGGAAACTTGTTTGTCAGTTCCCATAACGATGGAGGTTACTCCGTTTGGGCTGTTACTAATGGCAACACCTACAATCACCAGCCAGTGTCGTCAACCATTCCATATGGTGAGAAATGCATATATAACAGACACACACACACGCACAAACAACTCTTTTATGCTTCCCAGCTAATGTCTGTTTGAGACATGTTTAAGCACACTGTCATCCAGGGTCTGGTGGAAGTGGTGGTCTTGTCCACAAAGACCAGTGCCCAGTGACTGACAATGGCTTAATGAACCATGACATTGTGACTCATAGTGAATCCTTATTATGGCGAGAATTAGCGTGACGATGACGATGATCCAGAATATTTGCGGAACAGTTAAAAAATACTTTTTTTCTCTCTTTTTTTGACTTACCCCGCTCTCTCAGGTCCATTTCCCTGCAAGGCCATCAACAAGATCCTGTGGAGGACAACACAGACGGGGTGAGTGTGTGACTCATTTTTTCCCCCTTTTTTGTGTGCATTTGATTCCTGTGTTGTCTCCTGCCCCAAGATTTGCCAGTTTACAATAAACAATATACGAATAAAAAGTGATAAAAAAGGAAGAGAGAAATTTGCTCATAATCAACAGCTCATTTACATCTCATGGCAGTACTAAACATTTTCTGTAGTGGCAATTACGTTTTTACGTAATTTCACCCAGATTATGAAATGATTTATTTATTTATTTTAAATAATGATGCCTGATTATTTCTAAATGACAGATGAAATTGAAATCAACAATACTTTTCTGTGTGCCTCACTTCAGTTCCCCAGTGTTGTTATACAGTGGTGGGATGCCCAGAGCCAGCTACGGTGACCGCCACTGTCTGACCATCCAACAAGACAAAGACCACGTCACTCTGGACTTCACATCCCGAGTCATCGACTTCTTCACTGTCCACAGCATAGAGCAAGAGAAAGGTAAGGCCAATGTTAATGATCTGTATCTGTGGATCTGTGTTTTCTTCCCCTTTGATTCAAGAATTTACTTTTTCTTTCCAGTGTTTTAGTTTTGCTATCATGTTGTTATGAAAAGTGTAATATAGTCCAAATGTTGTCTGTTCTCTGCCACTCAGAGTACGATGACCCGTCAGCCTTGGTAGTGTTATTGGAAGAGGAGCTGGTTGTGATCGACCTCCAGACCCCAGGGTGGCCCACTCTGCCCACACCTTACCTGGCTCCTCTCCACTCCTCAGCCATCACCTGCTCCTTCCACATCTCCAGCGTCCCTCCCAAACTCTGGGAGAGGCTGGTTAACGCCGGCAGAGCACAGCAGGGCCGACAACACGCGCACGGGGTGAGAGGCACACTGCTATCTGTAAAGCGCAGCTTGAAATTCCTTATTATGTGGCTTTAGGCTTTTTTTCAGCTACACTGGCCAGCAGACAAAGCTCATATTGGAGAAAAAGGAAAGAATTTGTGATTATTTGCATTGATTTGCTTGCTGTGTCATTTATACATTTCTCTCCATTTTGTTTATTATTTAAAATTTAATTTGAGGATAAATCCCTTGAGATGTCTTGTTTTCAAGGGGGGTTCTCAGACACAAAAACATAGCAATTTCCAGACATTTAAACAAAAAATAAATACATAAATAATAGTAAGGATAACACATGGCACGCTCTAAACTATTTAAATGACAAAACAATAAACATAGTAACACAAAGAATATACACATAAGGGCTCTCCCATAATCTCAAACCACACACACTACATCTTTGTCATCTGCACACAATCAAATTCTTGGCACAATAAAAAAAAAAAAAAAAAAGGCCGTTTCTTCTGGCACATCAAAACACTGCACAGATTTGTTTCAGGACCTTTATTTCTTTCCATGTATTATATATTTGAATTGATTTCTGCAACATTTGACACTGTTATTGATGGACTGCCGGCAGGACACTATGAGCGACAGGATTGTTCTGTAAATTGGTTTATTCATGGCAGCGAGGATATTCAATTACAGGAATTCCAAGATGCATGTAAGCAGCTTAACCTGAGAACAGAGTATGGCCAATTGCCACGCTATTCATGCTTTAAATGTAACACTATATCAACATTAAGCAGTGTATATACTTTGTAAATACAAACCTGCATCCTCACAGATTCAAGTTACAGGGTTTTATTTGGATTTCTACCAAATGCCTGTTAGGTATCATATCAAAACTCAGCTGCTGCCTCTGGTCGTGAATGCAGAGCAGCATAAATGTCTAATAAGCAAAGTGAGACCGCTGTGTTCAAATTGATCCAAGCAAAGGATATTGCACTTAAATTGATGTTATTACTCATGCTGCGAGTACAGCTATGATGTAACCAAAGGGAGTGTGACCATCAGCCCGCTGGTAGTGTGTTAACTTTAAGAGCAGGTGTAGGCAGTTAAAGGCTTTGCAATGGCTTTGTAGCACAGGTCAGCTGTTTGATCAATGGCAGATTAGACTAACACACTCACACACACACTC